TTCACTAAACAGTGGGTAATTTGTGAAAAATATCTCCGTGCCCAATTTTTTTTCAACTTTCTAGAGCATGACAATATTCTTTCATGAAAGGTTCCTCTAAAGAGACAAAGACTGTGAAAATAAGGGAGAATGCAAATTCCTGACACTTTACAAATCACATACACAAAAATTCCATAATAAAATGATCCAACTACATAAATTAAAGAATGAGGAATTCATCGTTGATATTTTATTGACTAGTGGATTTGACACAGCATTCAGAGCTGTACGAGCATGTGCATCCATCATTAAAACACATTCCTATCTCTGTCACTTTCCTAAAACTCATCCTATGACTCTTCCTTATGTCCACTGTCCACTCCCCTTTTCGTGTAACTTGTTCCATGCAATTCATTTAAGGTGTGCCCCAAACCCCACATAAACTGCTCCCATTGCCCATGGCACTCTCCACATGTCTTTAAACCTCATGTATTCCAGTTTACATTATGTTAATTTAAACATGGTGATAACCATGATGCAAGAGCACATAAAATTGCACCAGTTCCAGTATTAGTTCAACAGATCACAAAGCAGCATATTGGAGGACACATCACAGGGATATAACAAACTTCTGTGAAAGAAATCAGTGGAGGGCATGTGTCGGCATGTACTGTCCTAGAACGATTATCTCCCCTGCAAACATTGCTCATATAAATTATGTAGGACAGTTAGAGATGATAACTTGGTCTCCTCAGCTGGGTCAATGTGGATCTGGGCTCTGTGTCACCAATTGGATGGACAGTGGAACATGCAAGACTTGCAGGAGCACTTGCCCCATGGTCTTCTCCCTGGATCCATTAGGTGGCAAAGTCTGATAGGGCATTCCTCAGGAATGGTGAAGCACTTGAAAAACCCTGTCAATGGGAATTACAGGAACAAATAGCGGACACAAAAAAGCACTTGCACTATCAAATATAACTGACCCTTTCGTTGTTTGCATTCTACACAAACAGGTTTTTGCTTTCCACTATTACACTTTGGAGCAGTAACTGTCAGTAATATGTTTTTCCATTTTTATTCACATATATTTTTACACTAACAAATTTTGTTTTTATAATTGTTTATTGTAATACAAATTGGTTTTAATTTCCATTTTTCTTTATTTGTTTTATCCTGTATTTAAAAAAAAAAAGAAAAGAAAAAAAAATCACTTGCACTGCATGTTGACCAATAAGAGTTGTATATGTTTAAGGCTTCTGTCCTCTTTCGAATACTGACACTTTTTTTCTTTACAATGAAACTATTTAGATGGGTGAGACCTTGCTCCATTACCAATTGTTGATTTATTTGTTTTTTTATCTCGCTCCAGATCGGCGATTCTACTTGCCTCCATCTACGTGCAATCATGATTTTAACAGATACAAAACAATGAATTACGAAAAATGTATCTACTTTAGTTAAATTTGACCAGTCAAGATGGAGAAGGGCCACTTCTGGTGACCTAGTAATATTGGGAATACCAATTTGTGCAAGACAATCAAACAATTTATTTCAAAGTCTAAGTATTTTTGGACAGTACCACCATATATGAATATATGAGCCCATAGCTTTGTTGCATCTCCAACATACATTCAAATTCGTGGTAGATATTTTATGAAGCTTATTTGGTGTGTAATACCATTTATATATAACCTTCACACGAGTCTCTACATAGTTTAGGCAGTGAATGTTTTTTGTGACCAAATAGAAACATTTCGCCCATTCAGTTTTAGCTATGTGATGGCCCAATACTTTTTTTGCATCTAGTTATCACTGAAATATCCACAGGAGATAAAAATGATATAATTCCATAGATCTTGACAAGGGTCTATTTATAATATCGCCATTTGACAGCCTATATATATTTGAAATATTCTCTGATGTAGATTCTGTCTTATGACCTATGAAATTTTTAATTCTCTAATATGAGAATAATTCAGAATTTTAAAGAGAGAATTCCTCTTGTAATTGGGGAAACAGTTTAATATTAGTGCCGACCATGATTTGATCTACCTGTTTAATACCATGGCTTATCCAATTTCTTGATGTGATATGTTCTATATTAGCTTCCACTATCTCAAGTTTAAAGAAATTCTGAATTCTTTTCCTAAATTATTTTTTTCCTTTAATCTTTCCCACTCTTCCCACTCTTCCATCAAATTACTTACAATAAGATTATATTTCCAGCTTTTATTTTAGATTATAGGGTTCTTCAATATTCCATATGGCTGTTTCCCAATTGTTCATATCAGTTCAGCTTGCCACCAAATTCTTTCTTTGAACCATGCAGCTGAGACCTATATATATATATATATATATATATATATATATATATATATATATGTTAAAAGATCTATATATATATATATATATATATATATATATGTTAAAATGTTAGCTCTATAAAGATCCCCCAATAAAGCCATGTTCATTCCATCTTTTTTAGTTTTCATTGCTAAGCTATTTCTACTTATTCTCAGGGTCCTTCCTTTGTATATTATACAGTTATATTATACAGTGGCTCTATAGTTATAATGAAAAGAAGAGGTAATAAGGGATACCCTTGCCTGGTTCCGTTAGAAAAGATTGAACCAGGAGGAGCAGATGTTAGGGCCTATTGTTCTAGCTGAAAGATTGTCATAGAGGGCAATTATATCTTGTAAAAATCTCCCTGTAAAACCAAATTTCTCCAAAACAGAGGCCAGGAAGTACCACCTGACTCTCTCTGTATCCAATGACAGAGTCAGGAGGGGAATCTTCTTCTCACTCACATAATCCAAGACATCTATAATCCTTCTAAAATTTGATGAAGAAGTTCTTCCCGGGACAAAACCCACTTGATCTAAATGGATTGACTCTCCAATGATGGTTCTCAGTCTAGCGGAAAGCACTGACGCATATATCTTCATAACAACATTAATTAAAGATATTGGACGGTAGTTGGAGATCTCTGTTGGGGTCGTACCCTGCTTTAATATAGAGATAATATTTACTCTTGTTATCATCCAGGAAATTCTCCACCCTCAATTATATCATTAAACACTTTAGTCAGATCTTAGAGGCATATGACTTGAAGAAAAAATTGGAAAAATCGTCAGGTCCTGGGGATTTATATTTTTTCAAATCGGATATGGCCCTTCCTATCTCTTCTCTGATAATAGATCTATTAAGTTGATCTTTATGTTAATTTTTAAGAATAGGAAGAGAAGTCTGAGATACATACTTCTCCATCAATGCCATTCCAGGTTTAGATTTTATATTATAAAGATTAGAATAATAATCATTAAATGCTTGCCCAATTTCTACAGGGTTAAGATATGTTTCAGAGTCAACTATTAATTTATGAACTTTATTATCTGTTTGTTTTTTCTTAATTTTTATAGTAAGGATTTTATCTGCCCTATTTCCTCTATAGTAATAATTTATTTAAATTTTTTTAAGATTTGCTGTTATTCTTTCTGTGATTTTATTCCTAATAAAGTCTTTATTATTAATATGTTTGTCCAAAGTGTCCTTTGACAGATTTACTTTATACTCTCTAGACAATTTGTAATGATCTTGATATAGATGGGATAGCGGTTGCCCTGCTTGCTTCTTTATTCGACTTTGTAGCTTTATAAAAGGCACACCAATATATGCCAGAAGAAGTATCTAATATATTATTATCCAACAAAAAATCTTCTATTTTATGTTCTAAATATTTATAATTTCCTTCATTTTCTAATAGTGAATCCCTAAGTCTCCAAGTTGTTCTATTAAAGGATGGGAAATCACTATCCAAATGCATTTCCAAAATGCTATGATCAGACAACGCATTATCAATGATTTCTATTCTTTTAACCTTATCTACTAACATGTGATTGCCCCAAATCATGTTGATTCTCGAAAGAGAGTGGTGAACCCTAGAGAGATGAGTAAACTCTTTATCCTCAGGGTGAAACACCCTCCATATATCAAACAGGTTGTTTAAATTAAGAGTATTTGTTAAAGATTTTGCTTGTTTTGATATGTATCTACCAATAGTGGATCCTGCTGGTATTTCGTAATCCTGAGTTGGATCTAGGATTGAGTTATAATCCCCTGCTATTACAAGAATACCCTCCTTTACTTCACCTACCTTTACTAGTATTTTCTTTAATAGAGTTATTGGGGCAACATTTGGAAGATATAAATTCACCCAAGTAAAGTTAATGTTATTTATTTTAGAGACCAAAATCATATAGCGACCATCTTTGTATAAACATTTGTATAGAATCTCTATCTGTAGAGTATTAGAGAACAGGATAGCTACTAGGCATTTCTTTTTGTTATCTGTTTTTGAGGCTTGAACTACCAAAGGAAATCCATTTGGATTCCATTGACCTTTATTCATTAATCTCCAGTGGGTCTCCTAGAGAAAGCATCAATATGCTTTAGATCTTCTCTTGTGGTTTAGCACCATTGATCTCCTAATCGTTGCGTTAAGACCCTGCATGTTTACAGACATCAGTTTAACCATACTTCCCCCTTTTTAAATTCCACTCTCTGCTGCTACACATACAACATAAGATACAAATACAATTATCTACAAATTTCTTATTAACATAGTGAGGGCCTATTAGGACCTCTTGCTATATTCTTTCTGGACAAGAATCTAATAAGATTCTTTCCAGATTCTTACCTTGCATGAAATATATCATGCAAAAACTAAATCTCATATAGAGACATAAAGAGGGTATCTGGTCCACATTGATCTGTGTGATTGGATTACATATATAGCATTGATGCCCGTAAAATACATATATGATCAGAGAGAGAAGAAAAAAAAAAGAAAGAAAAAAGAAGGGCAAACCTACTCCCACCCGACTCATCACTCTCGTAGACGCTTTTGAAAAGGGAGAGAAATAAAAATAAAAATAAAAAACATTAGTGATATCTATATTAGTGTCACTATTAATCCTTTTGGTGCTTACTATCTTTATTTAGAGACAAGATCTATATCTTTTTTTTTTTTTTTGAAAATCTGTTTATTGAAGTATAACAGTGATATCAAGTCGGCTCGCAGGCCAGGTAGAGATGCAATATTTCAGATAGCAAAAGGATAAACGTTAAGGTTCAAGGTTCAATGAAATACAAGCAAACATAACATGTCGTGAAGTGGTTTGAGGTTTCGAGTTCTTGGCTGTGTATATGCATTGTGACATCTATCCCCTGTGAAAAGGTGCAGTGGGAGTGCTTCGGCCTAATATAGTGTATCCATATATGTAGACACAGATACGTGTGTGCTCATAACGTACCACATTACTTATCACATTCACAGTGGGCGATACAGGTATATATGTTGTAAGCAAAAAGAGAAGGGAATATACACCAAGCTATAACAAGTTCAAAGAATTTATGTACATGTGTGTATTCTCAACGTGTGGCCACTCAGGAGTCAGGCAGCGCTCGTGTTCGTAGTCCGTGTGGTTTAGGTAAAGCGAACCTAACTTATGTACATTCGCCCCCCAAGGAAGCATAGGTTAAGTCATACAACACCATGTCATAGGAAAGGGGGCTATTTGGTCTCGTGGTGAGGGTCTGCCGATTCGAGTCAGGGAAATCAGAGTGGTGATGGTTTATGGTCAGGGGTGCTGTCGAGTCTAGTCGGGCGTGTGTGCTACAGGGTCGGGGCTGGGACTTCTTCCGCATCGTGGATGCGTATGAGATGGGCTTCTGTGTGTGCAATGGCGCTTAAGTATCTTTTTCCGTTGTGATTATCAGCCCATTCCTTGTCACTTCCCGACCCTAATGCCCCCCCCCATTATCTCCTCTTGTGAGTAACCATATCCCAAGATCCAAGTTAGAAGCAGAGACCGACCATTCCCCCGTGACCACCACCTGCAGCAGAGCTCGAGAGTTGTATGGTATATTTCCCTATCCCCATGCCGTCTGAAAGTCCCCGTGCCGTAGGATCGCATCAATATTTGTGCCCTATCGGGGGCGACTAACTCTGTTACATGTACGTGTAGCGGCACCTATCCGTCGAGTGATACGGTGTAGGTCGCGTTCCATTCAAGGAGCAACCAGAGCAGTACCCTTCCCTAGTGATGGGGTTAGCAATCAGGTTCCAGGATCCTTTATCAATCCAGAGTCCAGAGTCACTATCTGTTGGTGTCAATGTCTGTCATAATATGTATGTCGTCATCTACCTGTCCTGTATTCGTCCTGTCAGTCCCGATGCCAGGCGGACCGGACCCCTGACGACTCATTACATAGAGGGAGAGGAGAAAGTTAAAAAGGGGGGGGGCATTGTAACCTGAGCAGCACTTCCTCGAGCGTCCGCTTCCTGTCGGTGTTCGGCAATATATAAGAACCACGGGGTCCACATTTCAGCATGCTTGGCTTCTCGGCCTGTGATGATGGCATGGGCTTCTTCTGCCCCCTGGATCTCTTCCACCCTGCGAATCCATTCCTGTTTAGTCGGTACCGCGGTCGACTTCCAATGGGCCGGGATGTTCGCTTTGGCGGCATTAAGCAAGTGTCGTAAAATCGACTTCTTGTACACCGAGATGGGTTGAGTGGAGATGTGTAACAAGGCCAGTTCCGCGGTTCAGTCCGGGACGTCTCCCATGATAAGCGTCACCGTGGTTTTGACCATTTCCCAGTAGGGAACAATGACTCTGCACTCCCACCAGATATGGGATACCGTGCCAATTTCGTCTTGGCATCTCCAGCACTCCGGGGGGTGAGATGGACAAATGCGATGTAAAAATACTGGCGTTCTATACCAAAGGGATATGAGTTTGTAATTCAGCTCTTGGTAGTAAGAGCTCATAGAGCTCTTATGTTGCCATAGCAATGCTAGATCCCACTGTTGGGTGTTAAGTGTTTTTCCTAGCAGTCCTTCCCATTGCCGTTTAAACGCAACCTGGGTAGGTGTGCCTCCGGTCAGCAGATGTTGATACAGAGTCGAAATTGCGTGATCGAGGGTGACCCCCTGGTCACAGAGTTTTTCGAACCACGTAAGGTCCCTGCGTAAACGTTCATTGTGCGGTAGTGATGCGTGGAAGTGTTTCAATTGTAGGTACCGGAGTTGTAAAAGAGGTGTCCGCGGCCTGCCTGCCAACAGTGAGGGAAGATCCCGCAATTTTCCGTCGGCGAGAACCGTATATATAGGTACATATTCGCGCGTACTCTCAACGGGCCATGCTCCCACTGGGAGCCCTCCACCCAATTCTTCATTATGCGTGATCGGCAACATAGGGCTGGGTATCGGAGACACATGCTCCTGCCCTCTCAGTGCTTGCCAGCCAAGCAAGGTTTGTAGAGTCAGTCCCTCATCAGCCGCCAAGGTGTTCCGTCTCCGAAGCCTCCCCCAAACCTTCGCTTCCAGTGACCGGCCCGTGAGACCCCTATCCAGGACCACCCATTGTTTAGTTGTTGATGTTAGGTGCCAGTCCATTATGCGTTGGAGTACCGCAGCCTGATGATACCTTTTAAAATCAGGTAGTGCCAGCCCGCCTTGCGTCCTAGGTCGACATAGGATATCATGTCGTAGTCGAGATCGACCTCCGCGCCAGACATAGTGAATCACCCCCGTTTTTAGGGCCGAGAAGAAAGTCGCTGGTATGGCAAGGGGTATTGTTTGCATGAGGTATAAAACCCTCGGAAGGATATTCATTTTGATCACAGCCACCCTGCCGTGCCACGTGATATGCGGGTGTGACCAGCTAGTCAGGTCCAACAGAGTTTTCTTTAGGAGGGGTGTAAAATTGCAATCATACATATCCTTCGGTTCCGTGGTTACCCAGACGCCTAAATACTTCATCTTGCCATAGCACCAGCGGAACGCGAATTGCGACTCCAGGGAGTGGAAGTCCTCCGCGGGGAGCGAGACGTTCAACGTCTCACATTTTGAAATATTAAGTTTGAAGCCAGATATCCGTCCAAATCTACTGAATTCCGAGAGGAGGCAAGGCAATGTGACTCGAGGGTTGTGGACGAAAAAGAGGAGATCGTCTGCATAAGCAGCTACCTTGTGTTGCACATCCTGCCATGTGTATCCCATGATGTCCGGGTTTTGCCTAATCGCTTGTAGGAGGGGTTCCAGTTGGAGCGCGAACAGCAGTGGCGAGAGCGGGCATCCTTGCCTGGTGCCGTTGCGAATCGTGAAGTCGGCGGTTGTGGCACCGTTAATCCGCACTGTCGCTCTGGGATCTGTGTATAGGGCAGAAATCCATGATAGAAGCCTTTCTCCGCAACCTTGCCATTTCAGCGTCTCCATCATATGCGTCCAGTTGACTCGATCAAATGCCTTTTCCGCATCTGTCGACAAAAGCATTAATCGGGTCCCACGTTTCTTAGCATGGTGTTGGATAGCGAATAGCCTCAGTGTGCTATCTCTGGCTTCCCTACCAGGGATGAAACCCGTCTGGTCTGCGTGTATCAAGTCAGGCAAAAGACGTTTCAAGCGGGTCGCTAATACCTTTGTAAACAATTTGGAGTCAACATTAAGCAACGAGATCGGGCGATAGCTGCCACATTGTAGAGGGTCCTTCCCTGGTTTAAGAAGTACGGTGATGGTAGCCGCCACTGATTCCCTGCCCAAGGTCCCCCCCTCTCCCACTGCGTTGAGAGCATCAGTAAGCCGTGATAAAAGCAGTCCCGAGAAGCTTTTATAATATCCTAGGGAGAAGCCATCCGGGCCAGGTGCTTTACCGGTTTTGGACGTTTTAAGAGCTGCTGCTATTTCTTCCACACTGATTGGTGTGTCTAGCATTGCCGCCGAGTCCCGGTCCATTACGTTCAAGACCGTTTCAGATAGATATGCATGTATCGTCGAGCGATCCCGATCAGCCTCAGCTCCTGCGGTGGGCGGGTATAGGTTGTAGAGTTTCTCATAAAAAATCCTGAATTCCTCTGCGATCTTTTCGGGGAAGGGGGAGATTTCCCCCGTGGTCAGGCGTATCTGGCGGATTTGTCTATGAGGTACAGGGCCTTTCAAAAGTCTCGCAAGATATTTGCCGCCTTTATTGGCATGGGCATAGTAAAAGCCTTTAGTGCGTTGCACCGACCTGAGATGTCGTTTCAGTAGAAGTGCTTTGAGTTTCCTCCTATGCTCCATTAGGTCACCGTATACTGCATTCAATTGGGATCTTTTGTGGCTACGTTCCAATGTCGAGATAGCTTGGTGTAATTCAGTCAGTTCACGCATGACCGCTTTCCGTTTCTGTGAGGCAAGGCGTATTATGGTGCCGCGGATCACGCTCTTGTGTGCTTCCCAGAGAGAGATCGTGGAAATATCCGGGGTATCATTCTCCAGGAAATATTGCTCCAATTCCCGACGTATCTGTTCCTTGATGTTCGGATCCAACAGTAGAGCTTCATTTAGTCTCCAGTTCCATCCCGTTGGTTTGTATAAGGGGGAGGTCAGTTCCATCTCAACAGAGCCATGATCCGACCAAGTGGCCGGGGTGATGTCCGCTCCCAGTAGGTGTGTAAGGCCCTCTCGAGCGATAAAGACATAATCTATGCGGGAATAGCGGTTGTGGAGCGCCGAGTAATAGGTGAAGTCCTTCACCGAGGGGTGCAGCGCCCTCCAGCAGTCTACCAATCTCAAATCCTCCATCGATTGTCGGATGGATTTGATAGTGCGCTGCGACATACAGCTATGTCCCGTCGAGGAATCCAATATCGGGTCCAGTGGGGTATTAAAATCTCCTCCTGCAATTAGGATACCATCCGAAAATTCTTCCAACTGTTGAAGAGCGTTGCGAAGAAAGGGAGCCTGCCTCTTGTTTGGTACATAGATGGAGGCTATCGTGTAAATCTTGTTAGCTATAACTCCTTTAAGGAAGAGATACCTTCCTAGAGAATCCTGCATCCGGTCCAATTCTTCAAAACCGATGTCAGCTGCTAGGAGGATCTATATCTTTTTAATCCATTAAAAAATAATAAAAAATAAGTATGTGAATAATTACTTTTCCCTTAATCTTCCCTCTCTTTGTATTAAATTTTTTTTCCTTTTTCCGCCTTAGCGCTTGTATTATATCTTGCCTTTATATTTGCAAGAATTAGTAGTGCTTCTTTTACGGTGTCTATATCTAATAGTTTTAAGTATCTATTATAACTCCTCTTATCTTTTCATTTCCCACTTGTATTAGATACCCAATTATTTGTGATCTATATTATATTAGAATTGTATCCCTATTAGTGTTAAAATATTAACAAGGAGTAGGATCTATATATTTCTGTCTATTTACATTTAAATCCTTACTCAAGTGACTAATTTATGTCAGAAAAAAAGTCCTTTTAATAGTTCATATTATCCCTCTCCATTCTCCTTTCGTT